GATGTGATTTCTCAGATATCCACACTTGAAACTGCGTCAGAGTTTTAAAGTTACACTCGTATACAGATGGGAAGAAAATCATTTTATGAGGAAAACAGGTTCCTAAAGTTCAGTCCCAGCTAAACTCAACCAGTCTAAAACTTGGTTAATTATTTTACCTGTTTGGAGGCCGCCCTATAAAAATGCTTTCTCCAAGACAGCTAACAAATCTTTAAATTTTTTAAAATCCTATGGATTTCAATATGTCTGGTAGAAAGGAGGCAAAATCTGGATCTAAGCGCTGTAATCTAAGCAATTTAAATTACTTCAATTAGATGGAAATCTAAAATCTAAGTGCTGAGCTTTGAAACTATATGGGTAGTAGGAATTAACATATATCGTCAACTTTTCATTCTGCTTCTCTAAGAACAGTTGTATTGATCCCTGGGATGTCTCTCTCTCTCTCTGTGTGTGTGTGCATGCGTGCATGTTCACATATCATTCCAAGGCAGAGAAAAGGCTGCAAATTTGGAAGGAGAAATCTAATATCAGATTTCTATTCCTGTTCTCCCATCTGTTTCCAAGTTCAGCTGCTTCCATGCCACCCGCCACCCTCTGCAGTGGGTCACCAAGACAAAATAACGACATGTGTATAGTGTTGTCATCGCACGAATCCTGCCCTTATGTCCTTCATCCGTGATATTTGATGCACGTACATGTTGCGGTATTTGCTTCCCAGCAATTTTTGTAACTTGTGTCCTGATAAGGGAAGCTGAACAACTGGAAAGGGGTGGGCAGAAACTGCACTGGAAGGATTCAAAGCTCAATCAGCTTGCCCCAATAACCTCAGTCCATGCAAAAAATAACTCCTGTTAGCAATTGATTCCCTTTGCTAGCAAGGAGATAGGAAAAAAATATTAAGGGTCAAGATTTGAGAGATACTCCATATGGGTAGTCCTCGACTTACGACAATTGACCCAAAATTGATGTTGCTAAGTGAGAAATTTGTTGAGTGAGATTTGCCCCATTTTATGATTTTTCTTGCCACAGTTGTTAAGTGAAACACTGGAGTTGTTAAATTAATAACATGGTTAAGTGAACCTGCCTTCCCCATTGACTTTGCTTCTCAAAAGGTTGCAAAAGGTGATCACGTGACCCTGGGACGCTGCAGCCGTCATAAATCTGAACCAGTTGCCAAGTATCTGAATGGTTGTGTGACAAATGGTCCTAAGTCACTTTTTTCAGTGCCGTTGTAACTTTGAATGGTCACTAAATGAACTGTTGTAAGTGGAGGACTAGCTCTACCAGCATTTCTCAAGCTCAGCAACACTGAAATGTCTGAACTTCAACTCCCAGAATTCCACAGCCAGCCATGCTGGGTTGAGGAATTCTGGGAGTTGACTGTCTATGGAGATTTTTTTCTGGGAGTTGAAGTCCACACATCTTAAAGTTGCCCAGCTTGAAAAACAACGTGATTTAAACTTTGTGGTATCAATGTAATCCCCGGATGGCTAATATTTTGGAGATCAAACCAGTTTCTTCCATCAATAGTGATGGACACGGTTTGATGAATTAGCCAGTGTCACTTCCTCCTAAGCTGCAGTCAACACAGTAATAGCTCATACTATTATTATTATTATTATTAAGTGGGGTAGAAACAAGGTTTAAGCACTTTGGATTGTGGTGGATGAAGCCGGAAAATCTTCCTATTTCCCGGAGTAGCAATTGGTTGCAACTCCATCGAAGGAGACTGAGATTCCAGGGGTATCTTGGCTCACACTAAACCTGCATGTGAGAAAAAACTTCTTGCAAATTTCAAGACTTGTGCTTCTATTTATTTATTTGTTTAGCAGTCTTGTTGCTTTTGCCTAAGCTTGACCTCTTCTTCAATAAGCACAGTTGTGCTCACACTGCCAAAGATCAAAAGCCAAAGAGTTTTGGTGTGGCAGCTGCATATTTATATAATAATAATAATAATAATAATAATAATAATAATAATAATAATAATAATAATAATAATAATATAATGATAATAATAATGATGATGATGATGATAATGATGTTGGAGGGACCTTGGAGGTCATCTAGTCCAACCCCCTGCTCAGGCAGGAAACCCTATACCATTTCGAACAAATGGCTGTCCAGTCTCTTCTTAAAAACTTCCAGTGTTGGAAGTTGTTCCACTGATTAATTGTTCTAACTCTCAGGAGGTTTCTCCTTAGTTCTAGGTTGCTTCTCTCCTTGATCAGTTTCTATCCGTTGCTTCTTGTCCTGCCTTCAGGCGCTTTGGAGAATAGCTCGACTCCCTCTTCTTTGGGGCAGCCCCTGAGATATTGGAACACTGCTATCATTAAACTAGATGTACCCAATTCCAGCAATATTTATTTGCTAGGCTGCCCGTCTGTCAAGAGATTCTGGGCAGCTTACATCATCATAAAAACAAGCATACAAAAATTAAACATTAAAATAAACAGAAATTAAGTAAGTTAACAACCACAATGGCACAAGGTGGAGTTGGCACTTTTTTCCTAGTCCCACTAACCACGTCCAATCTGAAATAGGGGGTCCCAGGCTAATTGGCAGAACTAAGTTTTGAACCCCTTCCGGAAGACCATGAGGGTGGGGCAGATCTCGGCGAGGGCATGATGTTCCAGAGCAGACATGTCAAACACAAGGCCCGAGGGCCGGATGCAGCCCGCAAAGTGGTTTCATGTGGCCCGCGAAGCCATCCTGGAAACAGTGAGGGAACGGCCCCCGCTGCCTTGGCCCTGGCCCAGGCCAGCTGGGAGCCAATGTACAATTTTGTGGTGGCCATCTATGCTGAAACGCATTGTCTTAGTTCCACAAGGCCATCTGGAAACAGCGAGGAAGCAGCCCCTGCCGCGTCGGCCCCGCCCTCTGGGTGCTGGGGAGGTGTCACCCTTGAAGAAATGGACCATGCCTTGGCGCTTGCCCCAGTCCCACCCCCTTCTGCCAGAGACCCTCAGATCTGTCCCACTCCTGCCCAGGCCCTCATAGGCACCCTTTACGTGAATGATGTAGAGCAGGCCACACCCACTCCATCCACACCCACCAGTAGGCCACACCCACCTTGGCCACACACGCCCCAGGTCAACCGCAATGCTGATGCGGCCCTCAATGAAATTGAGTTTGACACCCCTGTTCCAGAGGATGGTAGTCGTGGCAGAAAAGTTTCTTCTTCTAGACCCCAGTAGCCAGAATTCCTGGACTGTGGGGGTTCACAGCATGCCCTTTCTGCCAGAATGAATGGGTGGGCCAATCTCTTTGGAGTGAGATGGCTCCTCAGATATCCTAGACCAGGGGTAGGCAACCTTGGATCTTTTGTGACTCGTGGACTTCAACTCCCAGAATTCCTGAACCAGCCATGCTGAGGAGAAATGGAGAGGTTTCCATGCTGAGCCATGCTGGCTCAGGAATTCTGGGAGCTGAAGTCCATGAGTCATAAAAGAGCCAAGGTTGCCTACCCCTGTCCTAGACCCATGCATGACAGGCTTTAAAGATAAGAACCAACACCTCAAACTGGGCTCGGAAGCAAAGTGGCAAAAATGCAGCTCAGACAACAGTGGCTTATGTGAGCCACCCTAGGGGCCCCTAAAACTTTCTGCTCTGCTGCATTTCATGCTAGCTGAATATTCTGCATACTCTTAAATGGATAGTCCCATTGCAGCAGTCAAAAACGCTGAGATGACCAGGGTATCAGTGACTAAGAGCGTTTTGAGTGGCCAAAAATAAACACCTCCCTCGAATAATGAGGAGGAAAAGGGCATCGTCTGTGAGCATCTGTTTAAAGGGAAACCAACGCTCTTCTTTTCAAGAGGGCCACAAAAATCGCAATATCCACCCTTGGAAAGAAAACACGCGCGGGAGCATTCAGGCCACTGCAGTCTCGGCACCTTTGGCCGCGGGCGCCTCCCGCAGATTCTGTGCCAGCTGCGCAGCGGGCAGGCGTGTCTGGCGGCGGCGCGCCCTCCGCCGCGAGTTCCCTGTTCCAGAGCAGCCATACCGGGGGGGGGGGGGGCAGAAGCATGGCTTCGTCTTCGCGGGTCACCCACCCGTGCCCAGTCCAGAGATCTCCGGAGGAATTGGGGAAAGCGCTGGGTACACCGCCTACCCAGCACCTCCGGTGGATTCCTTCCAGATCTGGCCCCGCCGCCGGGCAGTACCCGGGAGACAGGCCGGACAGCGCATCGGCTGGGGCGGCCGAAGGGCGTCCTTCAAGGGGGCTGCTCTGCGGTGGTTCGCGGAGGTCTCCGGCGGCCGTAGCCGCAGGGGAGAGGCGCGGAAGGCGGCGAGGGGCGTATGCGCGCGTTGTGACAGGGCTGGCCGGGAGAAAGTTGCCTTTTATGAGCGTGCACTTCCTGTTAGCTGCCTCTCCGCCTCCTCGGCGGCTAGGAATATATTTACACACACAGGTTTGCACCTCCCTCTCTGGGCAGGGTTTCCTCGCTTTCCCCCTCGTTTCTTTTCCTCTTGTTTGTGCCGTGGCGGCTGTCAGATTCGCCTCTTGCACGCCCGAAAGCGGCTGGTGCAGCCGCTGAGCCTCTTCGCGCTCCCTCCCGCGGCTGCCTGCCAGCTGCACCCGCTTGCCCAGGAATCAGCCGACGTCTCAAGGAGGATTGCAACGCCCTTGCCCCGCACCCGCTGAAGAAAGGGGGCGCGCGATTTGCAGCCTGGCCCTGCGGGGGCTCGGGCTGCGTTTGCACGCCCTCTTTGCAAGCCCCTTTGCACGAGGCGCTTTCCTTGCGCGCGCGCCAACTCCAGGAAGATGCCTGTCTGGAAACTTTAGTAGCTTTCCGGGAAATTGTGGCGGATTCTGGCTGTGCAGCAACTTCGGTGTCCCGCCAGTGGGATCGCGTTCGTCCCGCCAGGGCATCCGGGGGTCCAGCTGGCGGACGATGAACCGAGGCTCCGTTGGCCTCTTCTCTCACCCATCTTTTGGCCTCCGAAGCCCGAGCAGCGGCCAACAAACTTCCGCCGTCTTTTGATAGCTTTCTGCTCATATCCCCACGACTCTCCAACTCAGGGGCTCCGAGCTTTTGCACGCGAGTGGAGCTGGCCGTAGGCAGACAACCTCTGTTCGCATCCCTGCGATGGGAAGCACGGCCATGGACGCCAAGAAGAAGGATGCCTCGTCTGCTAAGAAGAAGGACGCTGGCCAGAAGCGACGCATGTTGCGCGTTCACATCCCCGTAAGTCTACTTGCTGGCTGTGTTCACCGGACAGGGTTAGCTACTGTTCTTCGTTTGCTCCGTTCGCACGATGTTCAGATCCGCAAAGGGCTCTGCGCAGACCGCAGGCTAAATCTGATTGGCTAGTTGCTGGTGAGTGGTGGGAACGCAGCCCTGCTTGGCCCCAGAGCCGGTGGGCAAGAAGTTGGGAGCTGTTCTTTTGAACGCTTCCCCAGATCTCCTGTGCAGAATGCAGCGTGAAATCTGGGTTGTTGGGGTTTTTTTTTTTGGCAGCAGCAGCAACAGGTTGGGGGTGGGGCAGAAAGGAATGTGCACAAGCCTGTCACTTAACAGCGCCATTGGGGGGGGGGGGACGTTGGTGGAGAGAGAGAGGGAAAGGGTGTGAGAGCAAGGCAAGGGATCCACCGAGCTGGCATGTTTTGGAAGAAGCCTTTTTCTAATTGTTTTGCTTCTCTTTGTCCTCGACTTACAGAAATTCCTTTATAACGACCATTCAAAATTACAATAGCACTAAAAAAAAGGTGACATGACCCATTTTCACATTTACAACTGTTGCAGCATCCCCACAACCAAATTCAGCAATTGACTCATACTTATAACGGTTTCGGTGTCCCAAAGGGTCATGTGATCACCTTTTGCGACCTTCTGACAAGCAAAGTCTATGGGGAAGCCAGATTCACTTAATGACCACATGATTCACTTAACCATGTTATTCAGTTAACAACTCTGGCAAGAAAGGTCGTAATATGGGACAAAAAGGGTTAAAAACTGCCTTGCTTAGCAACGGAAATTTGGGGCTCAGTTGTGGTCATAAACCGAGGGCTACCTGTAATTCATTCTTCAAATGCGCTGCCATTACTCAGAAGCAAGATCCATCAGCAGTTCAAGTTGACTGAATCTGTTGTTGAGTGGTGAGGGTGGTCTTGATGGCCTTGCATTACCCCTTCCAGGTTCTGGTCCTAGATCAGTTTCCATAAAGTTGGAGCTCGCAGTATCCCAAAAAGATGGTTTGGCCTTGCAGGACTGGGAAATTTGACCCCCTCACATACACGTAAGCACGCATACACATGGACACAAAGATGCATAGAAACACAGATAGATGCAGAGTTCCACACATATTTAAATCATTTTTTAACCTGATTACACATGTCTAATGATGACCTCACTCAGTTGAATTAAACATTAAAATGCTGCTTTTCTTCCTGCTGTTTACCCTGGAGAGTGCCTTGACATTCATACAACCCCAGTAGGAGGGATTCAGAAATACTTTTAAAATGGGCAGGAAGAGGGAAGTGCCTACAAGACAAGGGGGAAAAAAAACACACTTTAAAACATGTTCTTAGTTTTGGATAGTAAGCTAGGAATTAGCAACTTTTATATCTTGTAGATGCCTACCGTGCACCCTGTTTGCAAACTAGGGTACCCTTTGGGAATGTTGAGCTTTTTTGCAAAGTCTGTCTTTTCATCTCCTGGTATGCAAAGCCTGGCGTGGCCTTTAAAAATTTAAGGGGGCCTTTAAAAGCCTTCAAAAGACTTGCTTGGTAAAGAGATCTGAAGGTGTTAAGCAGATCAGCCACTGAAGGAACCGTACAAGTGCTCTTCTTTCTCTTTGCACGCTGTAAAGCAGAATCAAATATCCTGTAGTTGCTGTTTCTTCCATGGTACAATCAAATCTTGAGGATCAGATCAAAACATGCTCAAATGGATTTGAATCCCTGGATTGCATACCGGTAGGTGGTTGAAGGACAGCTGGACCATAAGAATGGGTTCATCAAGGATGGGATGGGGAACTATGGCCCCTTTATGACCTGTGGACTTCAGCTCCCAGAATTCTGAGCATGGCTGGCTCAGGAATTCTGGGAGTTGAAGTCCAAAGGTCATAAAGGGGCCATAGTTCCCCACCCCGATCTAGGATCTCTAATAGATGGACCCACACCGAAGACCCTAAGGCAGGAGTAGGTAACTATGGCAACTATAGGACCTGTGGACTTCAACTCCCAGAATCTCTGTGCCAGCATGGGAGCTGAGCCATCCTGGGAATTGAAGTCCACATAAATCATAAATTTGCCTTAGCTGCCCACCCCTGGCCTAATGGAAGAAGTGATAGTACATGGAGTGAAGCTAATGGACATTTCAGATTACAAAGCTCTCCCCAGTTTGAACTATTTTTGTTGGTAGATATGAAAATAAGCAGGAAAAATGGGTTGTAGGCTTTCAGGGACTTCTCTCCAGGTAGGCCTCAACTTACAACCATTTGTTTAGTGACTGTTTGAAGAACAAAGGCAATGAAAAAAGGGGCTCACACTCACATGGTCACAGCATCTTCGGCACCAGTGGCAACTGGTAGGTATTTAAAATTATTTGCAGCATCCCTGATCTCTGTTTGTGACCTCCCAGCCGGCTTCCAACAAGCAAAGTCAATGGAGGAAGTTGGATTCACTTAACAACCATGTGATTCACATGCCAGCTGCAGTGATTCGTTTAACAACCATCACAAAAAAGGTAAAATTGGGTGTTACTCATATAACAACCCCCTTGCTTAGCAACAGAAATTTTGGTCCCTATTGTGGGTTGTGAGTTGAGGACTAACTGTGTTCCAGGCTTGTAGTCAAAAGACAATTTATCATCTCCGTTATCCTTCATTCAGTTTAGATCACTTTTTTCCTATGGGGACTCAAGAGAGCTTACCTGGGTGTCTCTTCATTTTATCTCCAAGTATGGGACCATTTTGGCTCTGAAATTCATGGGCTCCAATAGATTCATTCGGCCATTTGGAAATTTGAATCTGGGTTTCTTTTGCCCATCTTAGTCGAACATCTGAACCATCCATGGTTCAGTGATGGACCATCAGAGTGACCCCCTTGTGGCCAGAGTTAGAAAAATAGCCATTTTCAGGGTTCAGGTTGTTGTTGTTGTTGTTGTTGTTGTTGTTATTATTATTATTTAAATTTATATACCGCCCTATCTCCCTTACGGGACTCAGGGCAGTGAACAGGCAATAATAAAAATCACAGTAAATATTACATAAAAGCCTGCTCTAAAATATAAAACCCCTAACAAAACCCAATCAAAACTACGCCAGGCCGGCCGCATGGAACAGATGAGTTTTCAGGGCTCGGCGGAAGAGGC